CATCTTCCCAGTTCTTTTTTTTTTTTAAGACAGAGTTTTATTTTGTCACCCTCAGTAGCGTGCCAGCGGAGTCACAGCTCACAGCAACCTCAAACTCTTGGGCTTAAGCGATTCTCTTGCATCAGCCTCCCAAGTAGCTGGGCCTACAGGTGCCCACGACAATGCCAGACTATTTTTTTTTTTTTTGGTTGTAGTTGTTATTGTTGTTTAGCAGGCTGGGGCTGGATTCAAACCCGCCAGCTCTGCTGTATGTGCCTGGCACCCTAGCTGCTGAGCTATAAGTGCCGAGCCACCTAGTTCTATTTTTTTTGAGACAGAGTCTCACTTGTCGCCCTAGGTAGAATGCTGTGGCCTCACAGCTCACAATAACCTCAAACTCTTGGGCTCAAGCAATTCTCTTGCCTCAGCTTCCCAAGTAGCTGGGACTATAGGTGTCCATGACAACACTCAGCTATTTTTTTGTTGCAGTTGTCATTGTTGTTTAGCAGGCCCAGGCTGGGTTCGAACCCACCAGCCTTGGTGCGTGTGGCCAGTGCCCTAACCACTGAGATATGAGCACCAAGCCCCCATCTTCTTAGTTTTAAAGCACCAGAACTCAATTAATAAGGTTAGGTTGAGCCATATGTAACTGCTATATATACATATTTAAGAGCCAAATGTTGATAATTTGGTTTAACTTGAAACTTATTAAGTAATGGCACTGCTCATCAAAAAGTTAGAAAAGTAAACTACAGCTACACTTATCATAGTAAAAGAAAAACTTTAAGCCTTGTTTTCAAAAATACTAACTAAATAGTCATCACATTCCATAATTTTCCCAAGTTTCGTCAAGAGACTGGCCTTGAAAGAAAAGTTTACCCACTGGCTCACTGGTTTAACAGAAAGTGTCACAGGAAAGAGAATGATCACAGGTTATCTCTAGGTATTTACATATAATTTGGAATTTTAACAAGAAGTGAAATTTACCAGGAACAAGCAGACCCTTACATAACACAAATCAGCTCACTCTATTTGACAATTTCAAGGACTACAATAATAGCAAAAGCAGAAACAACACCAACAACAGTACATGGAAGAAATACAGTACACGGAGACTAGCTTACGATCCTGTTACCTAACCAGACTGCCAACAGGGTCACATTCCTCCTTCTTGGGGAACCTGGGTGAGAGGTACGAAGTTGGAGAATACATAGGGTACTGAGATGAGAAACAAAGGCCACTGAGCACATCATCAGTACTGTCACATAGAATGCAACTTCTAGAATTCAAGCTTAAGAGTCAGGTGAAAGAGCCTTCAACAACCTAACATTGGGATCTTTTACAACAAATACCCCTTAGCAGGACCTACCATGAATCTGCCACATACACCGACTTATCTTATGCTACATCTAACAGCATTAAAGAAGGGTCTCCCAGGGATGAGACAGAAATGAGCCACCATTCCTCTGGCTCATTGAAAAGACCATCAAAATGAAATCACATGTAGTGAGAATAAGATGGAATCAGTCAGGCTGGGATGGACATAACACAGCTGGTCTGGTCAGCTTAGGTCCTAAGTGACCTTTACTTACTATCTCCTGTTCTTATTACTTTGTAAATTTAGTTCTCACCCTAAAGATGCCCATCTTGAATAGTTTAGAAAATATTTGACTTCTAATTGGAAATGTTATAATAGGTCACCGAGTTATACTGATTATTTAAAATAAGGGTTAATGTGGTCTTTCCTTTAGAAGGATTAAATTAGGAAATCAACTTTTAAATTGTTTTAATAGTCACTGAGTTACACTTATTATTTAAATTAAGAGTTAATGTGGTCTTTGCTTTTATGTATTAAACTGTAACTCTGAAAATGGAAGAACAGAACAGTCTTAGAGAGGCTACTCTCACTGTTCTCCAGAATCAATGGTCTTCTGACAAATAAAGTTTAGTGAAACTATCCCTGTCTCTGCATATCGGCTGATAGCAACAGGCGGCTGGACCCTCTATGGCCAGTAACATAAAGGGGGACCATTTATTATTTAATTCAGTGTTTTACTTGATGAAGTAAAACTAGTAAATAAATTCATAAAATGTCAAACTTCACTGTCTACTAATCAAAATTTGCAGCACTGGGTAGCAATACTACAGGGGAAAAATTCATTTGTAACAAATCAGATAGAAGGTACTTTTGGCACAAATGATTTGTCTTGTCTTTTTTTGACAGTCTCACTATGTCACCCTCGGTAGAGTGTCATAGTGTCACAGCTCACAGCAACCTCAAACTCTAGGGCTTAAGTGATTCTCTTGCCTCAGCCTCCCAAGTAGCTGGGACTACAGGCACCCACCACAACACCTGGCTATTTTTTTTGCTGCAGCTGTCATTGGTGTTTAGCTGGCCCAGGCTGGGTACCAACCCACCAGCCTTGGTGCATGTGGCTGGCACTGTAACCACTGTGTTATCCTGACAAGCCAGTATAAGTGATTTTTCAAACATAAACTTCACATACCATAGACTACCATTTGGGGAGTCCAACTAGGGAAGAGAAGGTAATGATGTTTCTAAACAACACAGGAGCCCAAACATCAGGACCACAGTGAGCTAACTGTGTGTTCAATCACTAATACCCTTCCTCTTAGAACAGGCCCCATCAATGAGGAAGAGGCTGCTTACTAGCCAGTTCTCAGAATGGCAGGAATACCATCAGTTAACAGAGTTTCATTCTTTTGCCATGACAAATCATCATTTTTTTTTAAAGAAAAGATAAAAAAAAAATGTTATCCAGGTCATTATCCACCCTCAATTTCACCGAGACCCACATGGTGGAGCAGTTGCCTGAGGCCATGCCCTGGTGGCAGAGAAGGCACTGTACTGCGGGCTCCTGTGTACCACAGGCTCCTGCATCCAGAGTGCTCCTCTGAGACCTGGCCAAGGAAGCTGATATGGGAGCTTCTGTTGGCAAAGGCGCTCCACACACAGTGCTTGTCACACAAGACTCATTCAACCTCAATAAATGTACCATGCCCACCTCAGACACCCTGACCCGTGTGCCCCTCTCTTGCCCCATCATCTATCATACTCCGAGGAACAAAAGAGCACGCAGGTCCAGCTCTGTCACTTTCCTTCAGAACTACAGACAACCCTTCAAGCAGATGGCTCACATGCACATGCCAATGTATTGGTGGCTTGGACTTGATGAAGAAGCTCAGAAGGTATCCTCAGAAAAGCATGGCAATACATACACACATACATACATACATACATATATATATATATATTTTTTTTTAGACAGAGTCTCACTTGGTCATCCTTGGTAGAGTGCTATGGCATCTTAGCTCACAGCATCCTCTTGGGTTCAAGGATCCTCTTGCCTCAGCCTTCCAAGGAGCTGGGACTACGGGTACCCCCCACAACACCTGGCTCTTTTTAGAGATGGGGGTCTCACACTGGCTCAGGCTGGTCTCAAACCTGTTAGCTCAGGCAATCCACCCACCTCAGCCTCCCAAGTGCTGGGATTATAGGCGTGAACCACTGTGCACAGCTACATACCTATTTTTAAAAATAGCCAAATAATAAAATTTATGTAATAAGCATGAGCAAATTTTACGCTAAATAACCAAAATGTAGTACTGAACATGAAGTTAGAGGGGATCATTAACAATGCCAGTTCAACTTCAACACTGCCTAAAGGATGCTTCCCTGAACCAAGAAGATTCCATCTACTATGGCAGAGATAGTTATCTGTTTATTCTACAATTATTTATTTAGTGCCTAGTACATCCCAGAGTTTTGGGCTCTTTCTATAGACACAGTGCCCATGCTAGGGGAGGGCGAGGGACAAACATCAAGAGTGAGGAGCAGGGATGTCCCCAGCTGGGGACAGGTGACAACTGCTCTGCAGCAAGAGGAAGAGGCTGAGGGAGCTGTCTGTGGGGTCTGGTCTGTACTCCTGAGAATGTGAGGTTTCAGTGTTAACTGGGTGGTCTGACAGGCCTCATAGAAGATGTGATAAATGTGCAAAAACTAGAGGACATGGGAAAGCTGACCAAGAAGACTTGAAGGACATGTGGGGAAGAGCTCTGCAGAAAAGGCAACAGCAGTGAAAGGTCCTGCACTTACCTAGCACATTTGAGGAGAGCAAGGGGGCCAGGGTGGCTGAAGCAGGGCAGGGCAGGGGAGGACAGTAAAAGGAGAGAAGACAGGTCACATGGGTACAGGGGCATTAGGGTGGAAGTTGAAGAGAGCAATCCAGAGGGGCAATGAAGGCTATGCAAGGCTGACTATCCCTCTGAGGGAAGCAGGTGCCAACAAACGGTGATGAGCTGTGGAGAAACACATCTGACACACTGCCTACCAGGGACACTCTAGGTGGGGGCAGCAGGGAATAGAAGGCGGGGGACCAGTTAGGAGGCTCCTGCAGGATTAAGCCCAAACTGAAAGACAAAGAAATAGTGAGAAGTGCTGAGACTTGGGAGCAGGCAGGACAGTGCCCACAGAAACTGCTCACAAGTTAGACATAGAGCAACAGAGAAGGGCAATTTTGGAGAGAACACAGGGGAATGGGACAGGGAGATGCTTAAGAATCCAGACTAGGGGCAAGCTGGAGATAGCCACTGGCTGTAAGAAGGGAAGTCAGCAGGGAGGCAGATCAGAAATGTGGCGCTCCCTGAGAGGTCTAAGCTGCTCAGATCTGTAAGCTGATGGGTGACAGACACTGCTTACAGATGTGATGGCAGGTGAGTGCAGAGATGACCTTAAGATTCCTTCCCAGGGTACTCAGTGACAGAGCTGAGGATTCTTTTGGTAGTATTAATGTTCTGACATGAATCAAAGAGAGCTCTCATATCCTACAAGTTTCCTCAAATAAAACAGCCCATCTACTCAGCTAGCCAGGGCCTGAAAATCTCCATGCAAAGCCATCTGTGATCATACCGTACCACTCATGCTTGAAGAGGGCAGAAGAGAGCTCCCCAGTCAACTTGTCCACCTGCTTCACTGGTAAGGAACCACGCCCATTGCTCACCTTCTCAATGTCCACAAGCTCAGTCTCATAGATCTCTGCAATAGTGATATGGTGCTTGGCTGCGATAGTAAACCTTCCCTGTGGGGGGGGAAAAAATCAGTCACTCACCCACTTTACCTATTTGAATGCCAATCAGTTGGGGAACAGAAAAAAAAAATGAACTCAACTTGAAGCCATCTCAAGGATTCCACCCCACAGCCACTCAAGCACTGTCTTACCATGTCTGTGTAAATGTCGATGGCTGCATTTAAGCAGTTGATAGCCTCTGAAGCGTAGGCATTTAAGAAAAACAATGAAAAATCCATTCAGTCAAAGAGGGTTCAGGTGAGCCTGTCTTCCAGGCGGTATTAGAACATTAATAAGGTACAATCTGGGGCAGAGGGTGGGCAGGTTAATTAGCGAGAACCAAACAAATCATGCTCAAGCCCAGAGCTGTGGTCAGCAGGGCTTTGTTCCCAGCAGCTACAGTGTCATTTAGGGAACTGTAGCTGGAGTAACATTGGCTCAGTTTCTCTTCACCTTAAAGTGAAGACTCCATCCATGTGGAATACTGTATTATAAAGAAAACAAAACCATGCAGGTTATCACCAGCACTGATACATTTTGTCTACTACAACATAAATGTAAAAGTATTCTTCATTAATAACACGTATATACACTAATTTTGGAAGATGGTATCATCTCACAGAAACAATCACTTTAATAGACTCTACTCCTCATAGGGCCAAAATCAAAAGCACTTTGAAATGCCTATTGAGACAACTCTTAAGTGAACATTTTTTATAATGTTCAAAGATGCTAACTTATGGTATACTAAGATATCCCCAAAAGAAAAAAATTGAATAGATGATAATGCTAATAAATTGCATTAATTTTCTAAACTAATGAGCCAAAAACTTCCCCTATAATAAAATGGTGGTATTTATAATGGTGGCTTATAGTTGACAGCTTCAAGGTTATTGCTTTTTGTTTAAAAGAGGCAGCAAAAAGGAAAGGCCTAACTGAACAATTAGAACGGTAAATAGATTAATAAATTACAGCAATTTCTCTCTAACCTACATCAAAAAATGTGGATTCATTGTTACAGCTTTAAAAAACCCTAAAAAAAGCCTACCTAAAATCCTACTTAAACCCACTTGCTAGTTTTTTTTGATGCATTTTTCAATTTTTTTTTTTAGAGTGAGACTCTGTCATCCTGGTTAGATTGCAATGGCATCAACATATCTCACTAGAACCTCAAACCCCTAACCTCAAGCAATACTCCCCCTTTAGCCTCCCAGAATGCTAGAATTACAGGAGTGAGCCACCATGCCCAGCCCTTCCAATGTTTTAAAAATATATTCCTATGTGCATAAGCTTTTTTTCTGAAAATGAGATTATGCATACCCAGTCTGCCAGGCTTGTGCAGTTCTTTAATTATCATGTGAACATTTATCAGATTTAATGCTCGCACTGTGTCCTAAAGCACTGCTGCGCTGTAACGTTGCCATTCTTCTCTTACTGCTCATTTACAGTGTCCAGGTTTCACTTTTAGAAATAAACCATGACTAATCTTTATATAAAATCCCTTGAAGAAATCTTATTTTCTTATGATGTATTTGTAAAAGTTGGGATTTGCATGTTAAACAAAATGAACTGCCAGAACAAAAAAAGGTGACACAAAGCTCTCTATGCACATGTGTGGGAGGGAAGAAAATACTTTTAATTGCTAAGTACACTCTTCAATCTAAAAAAAAAAAATCTGCAAAATTTTTAAATAACCAATTTAACTCTTTCCTCAAAACAAATACTTTGAAAAACACTTAAAAAAGGGATACTGTATGAAAGAGATTTTTTTTAACCATCAGATATAACCTCCCATTTAACTAGATCTTAAAACTGGTTATGTATTTAGATGAAAACATTAGAGTTTATTATGATCAATATATTTTCATAAAATTAAGATACAAGAATGCTTACATAAAATTAATTTCCAAAAAATTCTCTAAAATTCAACATAAATGGAGTTTGAGAAAATTAAACAGCCAGAGAAATTTTAACATATTTTCTCCTCATAAAAGCTCCTAAATGATTAAAGAAGAAAAATTCCTAAAGACACCAAAATTTCTTTATTATTCCAAAATATCAGGACACAAAAATACCAACATTGACCTTGAAGCTGAATGACAAGCTGGCTAGTTAACCAGAGACAGATGTGCTGCCCCGCCCACCTCACCTTGTGGGTCTGCTTTTTTGTAAGCATTCCCAGCGTCCACAAAGCTGGTTGCAGAGTCATGTTTGCTCTGAAGCTGCATGTGAAGCTTGGCTGCCTGACAAAATGCATTTCCTGCAGCTGAGGAAAAAGATACCACGATTAAACAGAGGAACAAGTCCACCCACAGAAGAGCCCACATTGTGTAAGGTGCTAGACCTACCCAGAAAAGCTATATCCCAGTCAGCAGGACATGCAAATATAGTCAAGTGCATCTCAGGTACATACAAAAATAGCCAGAATTAAGCCAAACAGAAATGAAAGCTCCTCCACTTAAGCCCCAGGAGACCTCCTGAAGTGTCTCTTGGCTCTCTAAGCCTCCCTTCTTAGAGGCTCCTCTCTAAGCCTTCCTCCATTCAGTAGTAATAGCTAACTAAGTTCTGGCTGCCCAGTCCTAGTCCATAAACATACAATAAACACTAATTAGGGCACCAAGCTGCAGGTGATTAAAGAACAGTAAAATACTGAGATCAAAGGTATTTTTCATTCATTTTTCTATCTTATAGTCAGGGTAGAGACTTCATAAAGAAAGTTAAGTTTACTGAGTAAAAATCAAACCCACAATTCTGAAATCCAAAGTTTTTTCTTTAGTTTATTGCAAAACCTGACTGAAATCTTTCCCCTCCCACACCATGATCTCAGCCCTAACTGAGATCTAGGTGCAGTTCTGTCTGTGTGTATCCCACTCAGCATGAGAACTTGCACATTTCCTTGCAGAAGCACTGGCAGGTCTCCACAGGGACACAGCACAACATGAGAAGTGTATAAACTAAATGTTTTTCAGGAAAGGTTTTGGATCAGGAATCTTCTGGAATGGAAGAATGAGCAAAGCATCTGAAGCATCCCTAGCAGAGGAATCACAAAAACAGGTGCTTGAGGTAAGAAAGGGCTGGAATGGGCAGCGCCTGTGGCTCAGTGGGTAGGTTGCCGGCCCCACATACTGAGGGTGGTGGATTCAAACCCAGCCCCAACCAAACTGAAACAAAAAAATAGACAGGCATTGTGGCGGGTGCCTATAGTCCCAGCTACTCCAGAAGCTGAGACAAGAGAATCACCTAAGCCCAGGAGTTGGAGGTTGCTATAAGCTGTGACGCCACAGCACTCTACTGAGGGTGACAAAGTGAGATTCTGTCTCTACAAAAAAGAAAATAAAAAAAGAAAGGGCTGGAATTAGCCAGGCATTGTGGCGGGAGCCTATAGTCCCAGCAACTTGGAAGGCTGAGGCAAGAGAATCACTTAAGCCCAAGAGTTTGAAGTTGCTGTGAGCTGTGATACCACAGCCTCTACCAAGGGCAACAACTTGAGATTCTGTCTCAAAAAAAAAAAAAAAAAAAAAAAAAAAAAAAAAAAGAAAGAAAGAAAAGGCTGGAAGCAGAGGCCAGCGACAAGCGTGTTCCACCCAGCAGAGGGCACCAAAGACCAAGGCTGAAGCAGCACCAGGCAATTTCTGGGAGGGTTTGAGCATCAACATGAGGAAACTGCTGAGTTCAGAGAAAGTGACAAGATAGAGTACTACTGAGAAATGAGTCAAGTGCAGGATAAATGAGGCAGACACAAGCTTAGGAAAGTCTGAAACAGGGACATCAATGCAATGGGGATGGAGAGGAAGGAACCTGACTCAGGCTCCACACATGTTGGTGCTTTCATTATTATATGCAATTAAAAAATCCTATAGTTTATCATGTTTAAATGTCATAGTTTCTTTGCAACCTACATACACTCTTTCCTGTCAGCATTCATTTTTGATAGTCTATCCACGCCTCCTACCCCAGAACTGATCCTCTTACTGAGTTTGTGAGATCACAACACCAGGCTCTCTCAGCCTACCTCATCTCACCACACAAGTGCTTTAATGTTACATTTTCACACTCCCATCTTCTCAAAGTAGCTGCTGGTTTACTTTTTCCACTCTAAGCACTCATTTCAATAACTGTTAACAAATACCAGCTTAGTTTATCCAAACTTAAAGTTGTCTTTAAAGGAAGGTATGTTAAAGTAAATGGCCCCAAGTAAGTCAGGCAACTTCTCAGGCTTAATTTCCTTACCTGTAAAACTTGTCTAATACTTATGCCTGGATAATCTCTCAAAAGCTATCAAACAAATTAACTCAACCATTATCAAAGAACTTTTAAAACTATAAAGAGATGCAATGGTGTCATGATCATCACCACTGCCTCATGGACGTAACTTCAAAGAGTCTAACATTTATTCATTCTCTCAACAGATATACTAAACATTTATTATGTTGTAGGTACTATTCCAGGCTCTGGAGAGATAGCAGATAAAGCACACAACATCCTGGCCTTCCAAGATTTACATCCTAATAAGGATCACCATACAATAAAAACGTAAATCAAAGTGAATAAAACACTATGTAATTTATTTTTGCTAGATAATGATAAGGAAATTAAAGAAAAGGAAAGTAAACCTCCCATCAAGAGAACATTGCTATTTTTTTAAAAAAAGGGACGACCTCTTTAAGAAGATGACACTTGAAGGACCTGAAGGAAGCAGGGAAGCAGCCACCTTCTGTTTGGGGAAACAGTGTGAGACAGAGGGAACAGCATGTGCAAAAGCTCTGAGGCAGGAGCTGGGGAGCTCACGCAGGAGGCGTGTGCGGGAGATGAGGTCAGAGAAAGAAAGGGGACAATCCTGGAAGGTCTTTGCAAGAAGTCAGCTCTCATTTGGATTGATATGACCAGACATAACCTGGGTTATGCTGCTTCATTAAAACAGACAGGAAAGTATAGAAGCATGGAGCAGTCAGGAGGCTAGACTAAGGGCATTGCCCAGGCAACAGATGACTTGGTTGGGAGACAGGAGAGTTATAAAGTGACTCTCTTCTGGTAAGATAATTTTTACATACAATTATAAGACCTTAACAAAAGATGGGATGATGGGACAAAACTATTTTCTCTTCCATTTTAAAAAACACCATATAATTTAGGCATAAGTGTATTTTGACAGCTTGTGCAACAGAATGAGACCCTTACTCTAAAAATAAGTAAAATAAAATAGAATTCTTTTTAACTAAAAGAACTTTAGAGTCAAAAGAAACTTTTCAGATTCATCTAGTTCAAAAGTTATTTTCTCTTTTGAAATCATTTCAAAATCTGCCTTAAAAGCAAAAGGGAAAATGGCTTATAGAGGGCAAGAGACCCACTTTCAGCCCCTAGCAGCTGTGAGCTGGATCTCCACACCCACTTCTCCTGTTCCAGTCAAAGGTGGTCTTCACTTTCACAACAGAAACCATGTAAAGTCTCTTTGCCACAGGAAGAGGAATAAATCTCTCTCAAATTAGTGTTAGAAAGAGCAGCCTCTCTCAGATCAATGAAAAGAATAATCCTGTGGATTCTGTGTGATATCACTGGGCAGAAGGCATTACTTTGAAAAATAATGAGTCTTCTTGGGTTTTATGTAAACTCCCTGCTCCCGCTGTCATTCATAGCTCTCAATGGAATCACAATCAGTTATCTCAGAGCAGGGAATGGTTAGAAACTCTCAACCAATGTTCAAGTAAAGAAAATCACACTTTTTAATTCCACTATCTTTCAATGAATTTTACTGCAACTTTCATTCTTCATGGCCCTGTGTTTGAGCATACTAGTAAGAAACAAAGATTATTCTAATTCCAAGTAATTTTAACTTTTAGTTATCACATACATACTGAGTATTAAGTGGTTTATAGAGATTAAGGTAGACATTGTCCCTGTACTTAAACTTGAGTCATGCTCCTTTAGATCCTGTCCACAGTGGACATACCAGTTATTCAATACCAACCCCTGTCTCTGAGGCCAACAGTCTTCCTCTTTCAGGGGAAAACAATCACTTCCTCCATCAAAGTGATTTTAAAGTATTTGCCTGAAAAGCAAACAAACAAAAACTTTGTACATACCACTCCAATTTTTAGCCATCTTGAACACATTTGCAGCTCTGGTATACATTTCACAAGCCTCTTCTATTCTTGTGTTTCCACTGAGAAAAAGTGAAAAATAAAGTTAGGTTTCTTTGAACAACCATTCATATCTCTAATCCTCCCTCTGTCAAATAATAAACATTTAATAAGCACTGTTATGTACCAGCTATGTACCGGACAAACATTACAGAATCTTCACAGCTGTTCAGAGGAGGTAATCCTCCTTTTTCCATTCTTCAGATGAGGAAGATGGCTAATGAGGTGTATGACAGCAAAGAAACAGCCCCCGACCACACAGCAAGGACACCACAGAGCGGAGACTCAAGCGCAGACCCAGCTGACCCCAGAACCCTACCCTCTTAAGCAGTCCTTCCCATGTATAAAAACTGAGATTTTATATCAGTCTCAGTAGTTAGAATTAAGGTGATTATATTGTGAAGGATAAAGACAACTTTACTCTGTTACTTTCCAAGCATCTAGCCACTAAGTTTATTCAGTCTTAAACATAAAAACAAAACCTAAAGCCAGACCTTATGAGAAAGTGCCATGCTATTCTACACTTGTATTAATATCATCTGTCAGCTCCACCAGGGATTCAGCATCCAACCCCACACCCTACACAGAAAAGCATATTTGTTTTGGGGGGTTTTTTGAGACAAGTCTCACTTTATTGCCCTTGGTGGAGTGCCATGGTATCACAGCTTACAGCAACCTCAAACTCTTCAGCTCAAAGGATTCCCTTACCTCAGCCTCCCAAGTAGCTAGGACTATAAGGACCACCACAATGCCCAGCTATTTTTAGAAATGAGGTCTCGCTCTGGCACAGGCTGATCTTGAACCTGTGAGCTCAGGCAATCTACCTGCCTCGGCCTCCCAGAGTGCTAGGATTACAGGTGTGAGCCACTGCACCCAGCCCTAGAAAAACATTTTTACAACATTCTAGGAGAAGGGCACTCCCACACTCTTAAATACATACAGTTCTGGAAAATGTTCACCAGGCAGCTGATTCCACTGAGAGATAGCTTTATCTGTTGAGAAATTTATTCTTACATAAAAGCCAAAATAATCCTCATAATTTCCTCAGAGTTTTCTAATCCAACCTTGCTTAGAGGGACTAAGGCTCCTTCATGAAAGACATTTACCCATCTTATCTATCTATATAATAAACATAAAATAACTGATAGAAAAGCAAGATGCAGAAGACTAACTGTACAGTACACTTAACAAGGAACTCAACGGAGTTATGGACACAAAAGTCCTAGACATGGGAGAGGTCAAAGGTGACACTGGTGGCTGGACGCAACATGAACACATGCATATGTTGAGGGTACACATACACTGGGGACTCCAAACTCCAGCAAGCGGCACACAGTGCTCTGTCCATACCAGCTGTAGTGCAGAGTCAAGGCTGGGCCCACAATGAGGCCCTGGTGTGACTCAAACATTAGTCAGAAATTACTAAAAACCTGACCCTGGGTTAGTTAACACTTTCACATCTTGGTTTTTGCATATGTAAACTGAGGACAATATTATCTACACTTTTGAGTTATGATGAGAATCAAAAGAAATAACTAATATATAGTTGTCAATGCACAGCTTAACTCAATCTGGATGATTATTATAACCAAATTAATGTATTGAAGGCATAAAAACCTTTGGGAACATTACATCATATATCATAAGGAACTTATATCTGGAATGTACAAAGAACTCTTAACAACTCAGTAATAAAAAGACTAATCACCCAATTTAAAAAATGGATAAAGGACCTGAATCAACATTTCTACAAAGACGACATATAAATGGCCATTACACATGAAAAAACACTCAACATCATTAGCCACTGGAGAAATGTAAGTCAAAACCACACATATGATACTACTTGACTCCTGCTAGAAGGGGTAGAGTCAAAAGATGTACAACAAGTGTTAGGGAGGACACAGAAAAACTCGAACCCATATCTACTGCTAGTACTAATGCAAAATGTTGCAGTCACTTGAAAAATCAGGTGGCAGGGGGAGGGGCAAGATGGCAAACAGGCACCAGCCTCCAACAGAAGCTCCCATCCAGAGGCAAGGATAATGTCCGTAAAATACCCAATAAAGTTGAAGATTGGGAGCCCAACCAAGAGAGAAGAGGGATATCTGTAGGACACCTCTGAGGAGGCAAGTTGAGACTCCAAGAAAACAATTTACAGGTACATAATACATCCCAAAGGAAAAGCGTCCGTCCCCTCCCCCAAGAAAGTTGTGGTTTTCTCTTTGTTTTCTCTTCATCTGCTCCTGTGAGTTTTCTACAGGTGAGCAGTGAACTGAGGACCTATTATCTCACCCTATGTGTGAGAACCAAAGGAAGGGGGGGGTCTACTCCCCTAGAAGGACCCTGCTGAAATTCTAAACAATATCTCGCCAGGCAGAAAAACTTAATAAACATTTTCACTGCCATTTTGAATTTCCAGTCCACCCTTCCCCCCCTTGCCTACAGAGACAGTGAAGGGGAGCACAAGAGCAGTGTCCCCCATCCCTGCAAGACCAAGTGCCCAGTCCCGGTACCACAGCCAGAGACCTCCTAGACCCATGTGCATTCTGCAGGCGGTGGAGGAGTCCCCCATTCCAGGCACCTGTGTGGTAGGCCCCAGAACTGTTTGCTAGAGACATGCATGCAGGAGGGGAGCAGCCGAGGAGTCGCCCACTCCAGGCAGGCCCAGATCTGCTTGCTAGAGCCATATGTGCCCTGCGGGCAGGTGAAGGACTACCCCACTATGGTTGGGCTCAGAACTGCTTGCTAGAGCAGCGCACACCCATCGGGCAGCAGTGGAGGAGTCCCCAGCTCCAGGCAGGCCCAGAACTGTTAGAGCCACGCCCATCCCACGGGCAGTGGCAGAAGAGTTTCCCCGATTGAGGGGGGGGGGCAGATCTCCTTGCTAGTGCTGTGCGCGTCCAGTGGGTGGCGGCAGAGGACTCGGCAAGACCCAGAACTGCTTGTTAGAGCTGCATGCGTCCCTCGGGCAGTGGCGGAGGAGTTCCCAGCTCCAGGCACCTTCACCAGGTGGTCCCAGAACTGCCAGAGCTATACGCTCCCAGCATCCCCGGCCATCCGCCTGAGAACTACCAGAGGACAGTCAACTGAGAGGGAACCATACTAGAACAGTGGTATCCCGAGGTGAAGAGCAACAGCCACAGCAGTGGAAACAAGGCCTACAGCCCTGAGGCTCTTCCAGACAGACACGCTCTGCATCCCAGGGCAATGAGAGGAAGCCGGCATCTTCTCCGGTGGAGGCCACTGACTGAACGGTTCTGGTACCGTCTCCACACAGTGTAAATTCAGCATGGGAGGAATCAGCAGAAAAACTCTTATAATTCAAACAACCAGAGTCGATCAATTCCCCCAACGAAGAATGGGGCAGATGCAATTGAAAATCCCATCCATAAACAGATGGCTGAGATGTCAGAAATCAAGTTCAGAATTCAGTTAGCAAATAAGATTAACGGAATGGAAGAAAGGAAGGAATGAGAATTTCAAAAAAATATTCAAAAGATAACTCAAGAAATTATTCAAAAGATGTCTCAAGAATTCAACAATTTCAAAGATAAAATGACCAAAGATTTTGAAACACTGAGGCAAGAGGTTGCAACCCTCAAAGATCTGAAAAATATGGTAGAATCCCTCGGGAACAGAATGGAACAGGCAGAAGAAAGGATTTCTGCCACTGAAGACAAAGCTTCTGAAAGTGCCCAAGCGTGCAAGTATGAAGAGAAATGGAGAGCAAAAATGGATCACTCTCTCAGAGAGCGCTGGGATAATTCAAAGAAAACTAATATTTGTCTTATAGGAATCCCTGAAGGCAACGAAGTGGCTTCACAAAGCACAGAGGCTCTACTTCATGAAATTATGAAAGAGAACTTTCCAGACATGCCAAGAGTCTGAAATTCAGATAGCAGACAGTTTCAGAACCCCAGCACGACTCAACCTGAACAAGACATCCCCTAGGCACATCATAATTAACGTCACTAAAGTTAATATGAAAAAGAAAATTCTGAAAGCAGCAGCCAGACGCAAGAAAACCATAACCTACAAGGGGAAGAATATTAGAATGACTGCAGATCTCTCTGCTGAAACCTTTCAGGCTAGAAGAGGGTGGTCATCGACTTTTAAACCCTAAAACAAAGTAACTTTCGACCCAGGATCCTGTATCTAGCTAAACTGAGTTTCATTTATGATGGAGAAATTAAATACTTTAATGACATTCACACATTGAAGTAATTTGCTATAACTAAACCAGCTCTCCAGACCTATCCTCCACCACATAAGTAAACTCACAGAAAAAATTTTGATCAAATTCCAACTTCCACAGTGGTGAAAGGATTAAAGATGTCCACTGGACTTTCAAAAAACTCGATACCCAAAATTATACCAGGTTTATCAATATTCTCAATCAATCTGAATGGCTTAAATTGCCCTCTAAGGAGGCACAGGCTGGCTGACTAGATACAAAAGCTCAGGCCAGATATCTGCTGCATACAAGAATCCCATCTTACCCTAAAAGACAAATATAGACTCAGGGTGACGGGATGGTCATCTATATTCCAGGCAAATGGAAAGCAGAAAAAAGCAGGTGTTGCAATTTTATTCGCAAATACGATAGCCTTTAAACGAACAAAAGTAGTCAAGGATAAATATAGACACTTTATATTTGTTAAGGGTAATACTCAATACAATGAGATTTCAATCATCAATTATGCACCCAACCAGAATGCACCTCAATTTATAAGAGATACTCTAATAGACATGAGCAACTTGATTTCTCCCATCTCCATCATAGTTGGTGATTTTAATACTCCTTTGGCAGTGTTGGATAGATCCTCCAACAAGAGGCTTAGCAAAGAAATTTTAGATTTAAACTTAACCATTCAGTATTTGGATTTAACCGACAACTATAGAACATTTCATCCTAACAAAACTGAATACACATTTTTCTCATCGGCCCACGGAACATACTACAAAATCGACTACATTTTAGGCCACAAGTCTAACCTCAGCAAATTTAAAAGAATAGACA